AAGGGAAGGCCTCGGCTTACATTTTCATGTAAAATTTTAAAATGTTGGCTGCATACTGCAATCCCAGAGGGACGAATCTGAAAATGATGTAAGTGAAGATACTGCTGATACAACAGTCACTGTGAAAAACACATTTCTTTGCTTCCTTGCCATGAGTTAGATGAAAAGACTGATACCACTCGTATGTCTGTGCGTTCAATATTCAATGTGAAGCTGGAGCTAGCAACTAGCTTAGCCCAACGATTGGAAACAGGGAGAAACAGCTAGCCTGGCCTGAAAATCAACTTACTAGTCGAATAAACATATTTCCCAAAGACCGAACTCAACAAGTTTTGCAACATTGGTTCCAGTAAGAGTATTGCTGGCTCACATTAGCTATGTCCCAATACCACGCTACACATTACAGGTTTTGTGTATGTACAGTATTTACACTGCAAAAGTAGCCAGTCAGAATGCATACAAAATGTGCTTATTTTGGCATGTGCTGTTAATGCCCACAATGCAATGCTTAATGGAAACGGCGGAGCTGATGTAAGAGCAACTCATGCTGCAAAGCATTAAAATTACCTGTGGATGGCATTGAATCACTCTAACTCTCCGTTTTAACTCTAGGTCCACAGGAAACCAGCATGCATCAAGAAACTTGAAACTTCACCTAGATACATATATATTAACAACACCTATATGGAATGCAGCCATCATTGTTTTTATTACACAGTTTTCCTATTATGACATGCCAAATGTCTGATATGAAAAGGGTTTATTTAGACCTTGGATGCAAAATAAATGTAAATGAATCCTTGATGGATCAGTATTCAGACAGTTTAAATAAGGTTTCAGCCATTTATTTTTGTTGTACTTCAAAAAACGTCCCTTGTGAATTCTATAGCTCAGCTGCGTTCAACCTTGACAGCAATGAATATTCAACCGACTTCAAACTGAACACTTTAAAAGCATATTTCAGTGTAATTCTGACGATCAGTGGTAGCAACTGTATTGATGGCTACTGTGGAAAAACTATGAACACGGACAGCTTACAGTACATGCAGTATATCTAAATGATCATAAGGGAAATTAACTAGCAGGAATAACTGACCCACTGCTCTGCTAATTTGAACCAAAGCACTGGTTACTTTCTAGACGGAGCAGACTGTTGTAAAACACTATAAAACTTGAAGACTATGAGACTATTAAGGGCATCTCCAGTACCGTTACAAGTTTTGCCCTTGCTGTTGTATCAGTGTCCTTGGTACCTCCTCCGGTCTTTGGATTCATCATTGTAATTCCAGCTACATGGCATCAAAATGCTCCCTTTCATTTTCTTTCAGCTCTGTTTGCCCAAGCTGCAGTGACAGATGTTTGAATGTCAGTGCAGATGTCTATGAGAGGACTTTTAACTGTGTAAGGTTATTCAAGTCATGTACAAACAATCAGTCAATGTGTTCGCTCACTCTCAGTCACTTCTGTAACTCCTTGAGACTCAGCAGAGCTAGTTTTCTACCCTCATAGCTAGTTAATTATCAATAATTACACTCACCTGGCATCCCAGGTGTATATCAGCCCTTTTTCTAGATGGCTCAAGCTGAATGAAAAGCAACACAGCTATGCATCCTGAGGTCCAGAATTAAAAACCGCCAATGTAAACCTGACATTCGACCAAGTGGGAATTCATCAGGAACATAATCATCTATGATGTCCAGGGCATTGCGGGAGCTATATTTGGGATGAAGTAACTTGTTTTGGTACCCCCAATTTCCTTCACAATGCCTCATCAACTTCCGCACTCTGTGAGTTTCTCTGTTTCTTTCCAGCTCTTTAAGAACACTCTTGCGTTCCAGATCAGCTGTTCCCTCGGCCAAAGTCCACATTTCATGACTGAAAACTGTAAAAATGATGGGTCGACAAAGTTAGATTCCTCTAAATCAGATGTTTCCCTTGGAGCCCTCAGTATCCTTTAATCCACTGTATGCCAGTCAGTTATCTAATACTGCAGTCAGGCAGTTTTTGTCAACTTGTAAAGTCAGGAGATACCATATGACCATGCCAGAAAAACTCAAGTAGCAGCTGTACGTGCCAAACAATATGTTGTTAGTAACTGTCCTCCAGAACAACACATGAAAGCGTTTTCTTAAAATGACGCCCTATCGGCAGGATGACAATTTACCAGTGCCTTCCAAAACCAAATCACAAAAATCATCATTGCAGCCTTCACAGGTTTGGTGCGCATATATGCAGTTGGAAAACAATATCGACAGCAACAGTGGAGCAAAATTGTGAAAGGAAATATATATATTGTGGCTGTATATTGTTGAGATGGATTATTTCCAAACATTGGCACAAAATAGGTAGTCTAGAAAGCAGCTACCATACTCTGATCTTCAGTACCTCTATGTGACAATAACTTTGACATCCACAAAAGTACAAAAGAGAGACTACACTACCGACAGCATAATTGCTAGATAATGTGCATCTCTAATAGATGAATAACAAAAACTGAAAACATAGCTCAATAATTTACAAATAATAAAGTCAGCTAGTCAGTGCTATCTCCGGGTTTTTTCCAAAAAAAGGTCTCAGACCAACAACTTCTATTATGTAACTGTCCAAGTTAGATTTCTTTTGTTACACGCGGCTTAATACAAAACTGCATCACTATCTCTGGAGCTACTTGAGAGATAATGAGCAAATGAAATAGTGAAATATTCTCCTGAAACCTCTAGTGACAAAATGTATTGGGAACATAAACTATTGCTGATTTTAGATAAGCTGAATAGAGCACTGTTTGAGGTGTTTTATAGTGTAGAGGTAAAATACAGAATGTACTGCTCTACAAAAGGTTAACAGCTATGCACGGAGACAAACAAACAGGGAGGTCTGTCTTTGGAGCTGGTAGCACTCTGATCTCTGGCGCCGTAGTGAAGGTTCCCCAAAGAAAACAACAACCAAAAAAACATTCAAGGCACAGGGGTGCTGTAAAGCATTGATTATTTTTTATCTTCGCAGCCATGTCATAGTAAAGGCATTTTAACTTGTACACTACTTCAGTGGACCTCTTTAAGGGGTTGTTTCCTCTACACTTGTTAAAGCACTTTGTAACTTGTTTTTGAAAAGTGCTCTACAAATAAAGATTATTATTATTATTATTATTATTATTATTATTATTACACTGCCAAGATCAGTAAGCTACTGTGCTTGCTACAAAACACTCCTCATTGTGCATTCGATTCAGTGTTTCAGAGTTCGCTAAGAACTACTTGGTAGCCTTCATAGTAGCTCAGGACATCCCCTGAATTCTACTTTTAAAACACATTCGCTTAGAGGATTAATCCCAGGTGAAAACCAGGCCACGCATTTACAGCATAAGTAAAATAGCTTTTAGTTATACTACTGAACATTTAGATTTAGAAGGAACAATTTGCAGTGGTAATTTTGATATTATCACATTAAATGTCTTTGAAGAGCAAGCTATGATAGCTAATTTATTGTGATGGTTTGGTTTGGCTCTGTGGTATTATCCCATATTTTGTTACTATTATTATTTTCTGTAATGAGAAGCAATAAAAGATAGTGGGACAGAGAGAAACAAGACCGCAGCGGGATTTGATGTAGGCCGCTATATGTGGACTCACTTGCGGAAGACTAAACCACCAACAGCCCCTCAATTTAAGTTCCAATTTATAAATTACAAATTAACACCATATATCTATGTGAGTGGGTTGGCCACATTGACATATTTTGTTGCCATAGCTGTAATTTTACTACATTCCACTCCATGCAATACCCTGAGGAGAAATAATAGTACCATCCTGATTTTTAAAGTATAAACATCACAGCTGAATACTAAAGGTACAATATATACCTACACAAAAAATGTAGATATTATAGGAGAGTCCCCAAAGGACAACAATGCGACTATACATGTCCCTATATGAGTAATAAAGTAACATTACAGCAATCTCTTAATTTCTGACAAAGAAATTGTCGCCATGTCATCCAACAGCCTCTCACCTTATCAGCCTCACATTCATTATCTTGAACTCTAAATAGCATTTAATATTCGCTCTACAGAGTGCCATGGCAACAGCTGTTTCTACAGTGGCATTAACATTACTCCTCCATTGAAGTCACAAGCCTGACTCCAATGACAGCAACACTGGATGTTGGAAAACTGTGCAATGTGGGCTCCATCTAGTGGTAGAAAATGGTAACTTAAATAGTAGCGCTCCCACGCAGACAGAATGGACAAATGATCAATCCATTGACTGATTAATCCTTTTATCTACTGCAATGGCCCATTTTTAGACACAACAGTCTCTAATCAAGGCGCTTTGCAAACTCCAGTCTACAAATCAACTATCCCAGGCTACTCCACCCACAGCAAACAAATCAATTTGAGGCAGAAACTAGCCCAACTACAAAACTTTACTGTGAGCATACAGATTATCTGGAAAGTTAAGGACTACAAAAAAACACACAGTGCTGTTTTAGTTTCAACTCTCACACACACAAAAACAAGCATGAACACAGTCACAGTAGTCTTATAGGTCTATATGAAACTATAGTACTATGACATGTCATTGTAGGCAGCCCAATAATTCACTATGAGAAGCCTGGAAAGGTCTCAATGTGTTGCACACATAAAGCGGTGTATCTTGAGCAAGTTTAGGTGCATATTATGTGAAACTGCTCTGTTGACAATTTTTCACAAGTAAGGATCACTGACCTGTATTGTCACTGCTTTTATCTTTGCAGTTACTGTATTATGTAGCAGAGCGCACAAAATGCCAACTGCTTACTTCAAGTACCTGACAATTACAGAAACGCATTAATAGCCTAAACGTAGAATTAAAACAGTCATACAAGTTGCAGAGGTGATGTCTGATGTAAACACACTACAAATGAAAGGGATTCTAACTCCCCCTTTGGTGGACTAAAAGTGCCGTTTGATATATCTGCCAACAGAGATAAAGGATAGTGAAGCCAAAACACAACAGAATAACATCTCACAAATACGAAGTAACTTTATTGAAATCAAGGGTCTATTTTATCAAAATATTTTCAAGTTTTCAGGACAAACAGTGCAATCAGTGACAAACGATTTTCTACAAACAAGACACACATATAAAACATATCTACAGTTAAAGACAGCAAAGGCCACAGTTTCAAGTATTGTGAACGAAAACAAGGACATACAGACAAACAAACCTGCCCTTATAAACAAGAAAGGCAATTTCATACTTTTAACGTTTCAGTGGTCGATGAAAGTTATTGTACACAAAGTTCTAAAAATATACAAACATTAAATTTATCACTGCCAGCACCAACCTAATGCAACATTTCTCAGAAACCTGTTTTTTGTAATATGCTGTCAGGTAAAATGAGAATAAGAAAAATGTTAAATTATGAACACATTATGAGGTGTGCCATGCAACAAATGTTAAACTCCTTGTAATAATACTTGCCATTTGATGTAAAAATGGCATATCATTTAAATAAGAGGGTTTGTTGCATTTTCAGCCATTTAGAAGGTGGGTTTCTTTAACCTTTTGAAACCTGCATTATCTGGCACATTTTCAGTTGCTACCTTGCCCTTTGGAAGAACACTAGTGTCTCAGCACAACACATGCCACACAAGTCATTTAGATAAACCTAAGCAGCATAGTTTTTCACTGCGGTGTAGCTGGCTGGTTAGGTAGTGTCTGTGTTATTGTGTGTCCATGGAGGAGTCATCAGCACATCCCATAATCCTCTGCAACTCTTGAATACAGGGCACAATTGACTGGCTGTACAACTGTGCCGTCTTCAACCTAGAGACAAGGAAAAACAAGAGTTCTCTGTTAAGACAAGTTTCATCTGTATATCTTCTCAGTTATATTAATGCTAAAGAATGCACTACTTAGGTTTTCTGGAGCTGATGAACTGATCCAAAACAAACTACATCTAAAGCACTTGCACCAGTACGAAAATTATTAAGATGAATGATATCAAGAGCCTACATAGTTGGCACCAACAGAAAGCAAATTTGTAGTAGTAGTAGTTTACTTTAACAGCTACCTCAGAATGTAAGCAACCATTACTTTGGAGGTCCTGAATCTTACTTTAGCTCCTAAAATAATCAAGATTACTAATAAGCAAAATACATTACAGATTTTATGCATCCCAGTCAGAGCTGTAATGTAAAAAATGGAACTTCTAGCTAGGAGATAAAGTTAAAGTTCCTCAGGGGATTGTGTACCAACACAGGGCTAAAAGGTAAGCGAACTTACATTCAGATGGCAAGACAGAGCTCTAGCAGGATGCCTGTGTTGCATAGCTTCAGCTGGATTTTTAAGTCAACACTGGGTTGCTAACATGTCAGCAAAGAGAACGCAGTGTTTCCCCTCCTCCCCCACACAGAATTTCTGTACTGATGCTCCGCCTCTTTCGGTGTCTCTCTCCCTGTATGCGTCTGCTCCATTGACATTTTCCATCAGCAGTACATTTTATAAAGTCGCCAAAAAGACAGACCTTGTCTTTTGGATTTTTCTGTTCTCATAGCAGCAGGTACGCTGCATGTGGAGAAGGCTCGTTAACGACGTAGCCTTTCGAAACCAAAGTTGTACCAAATGAAATCTGCACTAGGGTGTTCACCGTTGCTTTACCTGGTCCATGCTTGTAAAATATCCACGTCTTGTAATGCAACACCAAACATCTCTCTGCAAAATGCTAAAAATGTCTACGTGAGAAACACTGGAATGTGCTAAGCTGATAGTAATTTAAGTACATCACAGTTTCAGCTGTCAATTTGTTTGGAGATGTTTCTGCCCTATAGTGGCCAAAAACATTCAACACAGATTAAAAAGGTCATTCCAGAAAAGCCTACATTTGCTGTAGCCTTATTTCCATGATACTCTGAACTCAAACCTGTTTGTGCGTCACGTGTAGGATGTGGACAGTCTGTACTGAACATCCCATTAGTGCCACAAAATAACAGCCACACCACTTAGTTTTTTTGGTTCACTGTGTGACCTTTAAGAGGTGTGCATGAAGGCAAAACACCATCACAATTACAAATCATATTTACATGATCATTTCCTTGCTGAGCATTGCCTTAACCTGATTATAATGGATAAATGATCTGTGTGCATTACGACACTATCAATGTATGCACTGTTTAAGATCTAAATGTGGATTGTTCACAGGCCATCAAAAACTTAAATATTACCTTCTGAGCAGCTCGTGTCCTCTGCTAGTTTCAGGGTGGTAGTGCTGGAGAGCAGTGAGGCTGTGAGATGCCAGGATGCTGTAACACTGTTCTCGGAGAATGTTATGGTTCGCTGTATCCCACTGCGGCAGCTCGCTGGTGTACCGCCACGCCATCATTGTGTGCTCCAACACAGCGTCCCACTCTTTGTTCCTCAGAAGAACTTGGCCCCACTCCTGACATGAAACCTGAGGGGGAGGATACGGTGTGGTAACAGATTAGGATGACACAATGAAACACTCAATACACAGGAGGTAACATATGGAGCAGTTTTTAATATGCCAGTGACAAAAATTCCCTTCACGAACAGAACACAAACTCAATTAGAAAATCCTTTTTTTTTTTTTTTTTAAATAGCAGGGGTGTGCTTAACTCGAACATAAGATATATCGCCTTCCTGCTAATGAGAATTGGACAGTATGTAAATAGAATTATATCTGCAGGTTTCCAAAAAGTGCAGTCATTTATACAAAAATGCCCCAACACCACTGGTACTCACTTTGAACGCCACAAGGTGAGGATATGCCTTTCTGTAGCAGTGGGCGTCTCTGTTAGAGCCAAGCCGTGAGTAGGGTATGGACCTGTAAACATTTGCTTTCTTTTGTTGCAGGTCTTCCTGGAGATACTTCAGGTCTGATGCTAGGATTCTGGGCTCTTGGCTCTAGGATGCAATGCAAAACATCATATATCAAATTACATAATATGTAGTGATGGCTCAGAGTTAATTAGTACATATTTACAATGTGACTACTAAAACTCTGCTTGGGATGAATCTCCCCCCAAATGTGATCTTATTAATATGGTCATGTGTAATGGCCAGGATGCCTACCTGTTCAACTAAGATGAGAGATCTGATTAGCTGCACAAGCTGCGGTTTGGAGAGGGGAGTATGGTGCTCATCCATCTTCTCACAGTGCTCCTCTATGCCCCCACTCCACAGTCCACCAATGGACAAGTCCACTGCAAAACAAAAGAGGTATGATGAAGACAAAGACAGGCCACAGCAAACAATTACAGGGGTAAACCTAACACCTTTTGAAGTAATTAACAAAAGGAATAGTCATCAGTTGTTAAGTAGTGGCATTTACTTCAAAAATGTTTTAGTAGACAAGCAGAACAGCTTTTAATGCTCTGAACAGTCTTATTTAATTTCAAGCTCTCAGATTTCATAACTTTGAAATGCAAAAGGAAACATGAGTATTAGAAGACAAAATACGCTCACAATTCCTCTCTGTTGTCATTTAAAAATTTACTTTTCCCACATGGAACGTTACTTACGTGACTGCACGCGCTTTGTGTTCTTCCCCCTTGGAAGTGGAGATGGAGCCAAACGAGCACTTAGTATTTCTAGGTAGGACCTCCTCATTCGAGCTGTAACGTTGAAAGATTAAAAAAAATAAAAAATAAAATACTCTTTGGGTGACAACGGCTCGTGTTAATATTTCCTACAACGTCATTTGCTATTTTACATAGCACAAGGCACACCGTATAAACCGACAGGGGAACGAATTTCAGTGTAAAATGTATACCATCCTTAATTTTGTAAAGTTGACATTAAAGTCACCGATAACAACCTGTTTATCCTAGGGGCGCGGGCGCGCGCTTGTGATAACATTAGCATGATGGCAAAGTGGCGCGCCACCCCAACAAAGAATTTCACGTTAACGTTACACCAAATTTCCGCAGCCAGAATAAAAGAGCCGTAAATTTTCAGACTTACCTGCAATTTTGGGCTGTGGGGCGGGTATTTCCACCAAAGCACGTCGTGTCTGGAACACAGCTGACATTGTGACCAAACTAACGTAATCACTAAAGATATGGAGCTAACTACCTGCTAGTAGCCAGAGGGTAGCCAGCGCCGCTACGGTTAGCTGAACTTTAAACCCCACGGGCTGCCCAACAATAACTTTTCTGGCTTCAGCTGGTGAACTCGCAGTCAGCAGCTCCTTCAAAGGCGTCGGTGCAGTTTTCGAGCTCCCGAATACCGTAGGGCAAACTTGCTTGAATTTAATTAAACACTACAAAATGCCCCCACGTGTGTGATGCCTGCTGAAGTGGTAAGGGGAAAAACTAACCAACTTTTGTCTGCTCTAGTACCAGTACTATGCTGGTGAGGCGCGCGACACGAGTTGCCGCGCGGGCGTGGCTTGCTTCATGTGCCGCCCTGATTGGTAAACGTCGCAGAATGTATAGAACAGGCGCCGAATATGCAAATGAGGTGACTGCTGCCCTTTAGAGAGGGCTCTGGTTTGGGATAGAGATCACGTGAACACACGCTCGTGCACGCATGGACACATTAGCAAGTACGCGCGGCAAAGATGACTATTAGCGTTAAAAATGTGTTAAATTCTTTTTTGGCTGAGAGGATGTTTCATACACATGAAGCATAGTAGACCCATAAAGTACCCATATTATCTAATTTTGTGTCTTATCAGAATGTTGTTGCTAAGCTATTTAAAAGTAAATATTAATGTCAATATTGTATAATAATAATAATGCTATATGGCAGTATATTTTTTCTCGTTTTAATGATTTCTCACTAGCCTGGACCAGGTCAAACAGTATGAGGTTGATCTTTCAAAATTTGTTGGGTGAGAGTATTTTTATTTCAATCACATGCAGCTGGAGCTACTGCATGCTATTTGCTGGCTATTCTTTTCTCAAACACCTTTTGCTGGCCTAAGAGGGATGCTTCTCCAACAAATAATACCTGTATTCTCTAGCTGAAGGGCAGTCTCTCTGAGCAGGAGTGGATGATCTGACATGAATAAATTACAGGTACAGGCACACACACAGTGACAAAAAAGATATTGGCCTTCATGTGATGCAGGCTATCTGACTGCTACAATTTTGTTAAATTGGCCTTTATAATATCTACTAAGGACCAACATTTAGACACAGTAGGTGCTCGAAAAGAACAGTGAAGGGCGCCTTGAAACTTCACCTCTACTTCATCCCACACTTAATAACCCAATATCTGGCACAAGATAAAAATATGACTAAAGAAAAAAAAATAATATGAACAACCTTATAAAAAATGATGTTTATATGATTATTATCAATGCATTCTTCTGCACCATGCATTATATATTGACATGAGAGCTTTGCGTAAGTTGTAGTTTTATGAAAATGATAGGCTGTTGTATTTTGTGAAAAGAGTGAAAGACGGACTAACGCTCAGAACACATCGGTAGTGGTGATTCTATGTTAGAGTGAAATATTCAAACCAAGAGACATGGTCGGAGTCATAAAAATCTGTAAAATGTTTTTAATAGGTTGGTGAATTATTGAAAAAAACAGGAATTGAATTTTTTCAAGTCAAGAGACATAACTGCATCTTGATACATAGTGTGGAATAATAAATTATTCAAGCACAGAAGTTATTCCAAAACAGATAAAACACAAAAACAAAATAAAAAATAATTAGATATAATTAACACAGTGGTCAATCTGAAATATGTCTTAATAAATTAAAATGTTTTCTAAATTGATAATATTATAGCATTATTATACTTTTACATATTTTGCTTTTTGGGGGAATAGTTTATTATTTACTGTTTACTGAAAATATCCTATGTGGTAAAATATGAAGCAGTGGTAAATACAGTGCAACTTTAGTGTCCCTGTATTTTCAACATTTCTAACAAATGTTCCAGTCATCTTGCAAAAAAACCAAACAAACTGTAATGCAACAGGGTTGAAATCAGTTCACTTTTACACAGTCATTCACAAATTCAACCTAATACTTATTTGTGTAAATAAAATGATATAACAGTTTCCTCACTGGACTGACAGTGACACATTTTTACTCACATTTCAACAGGTAAATTATTAATTACAATAATTACAATTAATTAAATTATTAATTAGATTAATAATTAATTAAATTATTAATTACAATAATAAATATCTGTAGTAAAACTGCACTTTATGAACTGATTGAACTGACAGTGAATTCACTCCAGCCCTGTACAAGATTAGAGCAAATTAAGCTGAATACTCAATGGCTTCTTGAAACTGCTATGTCAAATAATATAATTATATTGTATTTATTTACATTATATACATTTTCTAAATAAGTTACATAATGCACAGGTAAAAGGGTATCTAATAGGTACATATCATATTACAAAGGTTTGTGACAGTATGGCTTTGTAAATATACATTACAATATTGTCATATTGTCAAGTGCAGTCAGATAGGACTACCTTTCAGCATCTTACTCATTTGTCAGTATAAGTTTTATGTAACTTTCACGTTAAGCCTAACTGCAACGAGTCTTACACTTTATTGATTCTGACACGGAGACCGTCCAGACCATATATGAAAAATATATGACTCTTCCAGCAAACTCAAAAATAACAAGATGCTTAAAGACATCTTCTGACTGTGTAGGCCACACTATAAAGCATAAGGAGTAGCCTCTACTTGCTAAGCAGTGTTTTAAGGGAGCGAGTGAGTGCGTTAGCAATGGCCGACATGGTACTGGAGTGGCGGACCAGGGCTTTCATGCTGTGCTCCCCTGGTGCTCCCACGGTGGCAGCCTCAGCTGCTTTGAGCAAACAGATATAGTTCATAACAACCTCGTCAACCTTTGCCACAACTTCTCTCTGTTGGTGTGAGGCCGAGGCTCCAAGCCCCCTAACCAGACACATGCAAGCTTCACAGAGACAGCATAGCACCTGGAAGCTACAAGTTACAGCTAACAGCATCTCCTCAGGACTACCGTGGGCCTGTGCCATCCTCCGGCATGCCCGGCCTAATTCTTTCGACTCAACGGAGAGGAGCTGCTTGTACTGGGATACATCCTGGAGAGGCATCTGGGCTCCGCGGTCGCAGCGACCTACGCTGGATCTCACCAGTGCAATGAGCTCACTGGCATCACGGCGGACATCAGTGAAGCCAGAAGGGAAGCCATACATGCGGTCTTTGAGTGCGTTGATTCGTGCAAGACGGTCACTGAAGCTCATATTATTGAGGACCTCCCCATATAACTGCTCCTCAGCTGCATCCACTGCTGAGCCATAGGGCACCATGGTTGATGCAACAGCACCGTCATTATCAATATCCTTCCCACCACGGCTTCGTCTGGGCCTCTCCCACTCAATCTCATCTTCTTCCCCCTCACTCTTACGTTTAAAGAAACAGTAGCTAAAAGGCCCATTGCATCTCCACGGACTGGTGTCCAGTTTTTGAGAGCCCTTCATGTGTTTGGCATCCTTCTGCAGTGGAAATGCCACAGACGCCCTTCTACTGTCTACCCTACAGCCTGTAGACCAGCACGTGGTGTGGGAAGATACAGAGCCTTGGGAGTAGCTCTTGGAGAGCCGCTTCCTTGTTGGCCTCCGCTGAACTTTGGTCTCACCTTGTTGGGGCACAGATGGTGACAAGGGCTGCTGGCTCCGGCTTCGGGTCGGCTTATCAAACAGAACTTCCGCACTACCAGAACTGGCAGTCACATTGCTGGAGCTGCGTTTGAGCTCCCGGCCCCGTTGCAGGTTATTGCTGAAGGGATCTGTCTGTGACAGGGTTGGTGCAACAGCCTGAATGTGGTTCTGATTCTGCCGGGACTGGATGGAATGGATGGTATCCTGCGTGCATCCTGAGTTGCTGGAGCTAGCGTTGGCTTGCATGGGAAGAGGCAACGGAGGAGGTGGTGGTGGGGGAGGTGGAGGAGGAGTTGGGGATTGTGGGTTGGGAGTTGGAGATGCAATGCAAGACCTAGTGCCAGTAGATGGCTGCCTGATAAAAGCAGAAGGGTGGTCTCCCCTTCCGAGCGAGATGGTGTGGACGTCTGCTCGTTGACCACTTACACTGGGGGCAGCAGAGAAACAAAGAGAATCATTAGGACGAGGATGAGGAGACTGACGAACTGCATGCTTTGCCCTTGGGTCTGATCTGAACCAGTCCTCTGTGCTGCTACTAGGTTGGCTTCTTGACCGAGGTGGCAGAACTTTAGCGGTACCCCCACCCTCGCGGTTTCCACCTGTAATGTATCCCCCATCACGGCTGATACAGCCTTCTCTCTTATACAATGACAGGAAGTGCTCTGGGTCCATACCACTCCTCTCTATTTCACTCTCCAGGCCAGAAAAGGAGCTTCTCCTCTCAGCAGTGGCTGTTCTGAAACCTAGACTGTCATTCAGTGTCTGAGCATGCATGTCAGGACTTCTCTTGAGTTTGGCAGGAAGTGTTGCTGAATGGTATGGCTGTGGATTTTTATTTGCCAGCTGCATGGTGGCCGCATTAGGGGTTACTAAATTTGGGCTGAGGAATGGGGATGATATGGAGGAAGGCATACACGGGCAGCGAGCAATGTTGTTCCCCCTATTCTTTACCATTTCGACAAGCTGAGGGTTGCTAGTGATAAAGCGCTTGGTGTCCTTTTTCACTGCCCCTCCCAGGCCTGCACTGTGCAGTTTCCCTCCCTGATGCATCTGGCTGACTGTTAGATAGTTAATCAGTTGTCTGTAGGCCTCACTGCCTTCCTTCTGGTTCAGTCCCTTAAAACAAGCCTGTTGTTTAGCATGCTGATCATTATGGGGCCTCTTGCTTCCAGTACCTGGGGTCTCTTTATGTTTAGATGGCGTGGCTGAGGAGGGACGGCCTGGTTCAGCCCCGGCAGGAGGAGGGTGAATGTTGGGCAGCATTTTCCGAAGAAGGGCTGGGTCTGCATGAGGATGGAGGTCTTTACCCTGAGTGCTCTGGCCAGGGATGCCGCGAGCGATTCCAGGTTTGTTATCTTCATAGTTTAGCACCCTGAGTAATGAGGAGGAAGAATTAGAAAGTGGGTGCCTTTGCAAATGGTGGTGTTTTGATTCAGCCGCACCAGGACCAAGTGGTGAGTCAGTTGGGGTGGCACAGGCACTACTGGTAGTGCTGCCTCCAGCATCCAGTGATGAGCACAGAGAACCTTGTAGTGAACTTTGGGCTTCTCCTTGCAAATTTGAAATCCTTTTTGCTAGATGGTACTCACACAACCGTGCAACACTCTGCTGTCTAGAAATCGGCTGATGGTCACTTTGTATGTCTGATCCCTGGTCTGACCCCCCTGAACTGGGTTTTTTGGTTGGGGACAGCAATGATGCTACAACTAGA